GGCTGCAGCCATGCCCCTGGCATTGAAGATCCACACCAACCCCAGCTGTGTACTGTGGGCAAGTCCTTGGACCTGCTGGGGCCATGGAATAACCTGGTGTTCCCATCTGACCAGGTTCACTGTCCCCTGCAGTCCCTTCACCTTTTGTCCTCACCCTCACAGTCAGTGCTGGCACCAGGACCCGGCTCTTGGCTCCTGCACACGGGCTGGGAAAACTCTCCGTGGTGTCTGATCCCAGCACAGGCATATAAATCAGGAGGGCACTGGGATGGGTATCCCATCCCTGCTGGGAGCCACACTGAAGCTCCCAGAGCAGACCAAACACCCTGGTGACCGTCATCCTCCATCGAGGGAGCCCAGGTCACACCAGTGTGTTTCCCTCACACACTGTTCCCACTGAAATCCTGCAGAGTACAGTCCTGCTCAGCACCAAACCATTTCACAGACCTTGTTCAGTCTGTGTGGAGGGTTTAAAGTTCAGGAAAACAGTGCATGGGTCTCTGGAGCCGGCACTGGGACTTTCTGGGAACTCTGCATCCCTGAGCAGTCCCGCTATCCCAGGAGGAGGTTCCAGGAATGCAGTAGGGTTGGGCAGCACTAAGCAGCACTGACTCCTTCCTCTAGGCTGCAGGGAGGAGAGGAGAGTGGAAACCCAGCCAGGCAGGGGGAATAATCCTAAATGCTTTGTGCTGGTGGCGACTGGCACATTTGGGCCAAGGGTGGCAGCTCTGGGGATCACCCCACGAAAAAGGCAGCTTGAGGGGTTCCTGAGGATGCATTTTTAGCACTGCTTTCATGCTCCCCCTGCATCTCTGCACTGAGCACCCTCGATCCTGTGCAGAGTGGGCTGTTCTCCAGGGATGCAGCTCCTGCAGGTGCCCAGCCAGGCAGCCCCAGGGAAGCCTCTCCCGGGGAACCAGGGCAAAAGCTGTGTTGGGCAACACCACAGGGCGAGTGGGATGGGGGCTGTAGCTTGCTCTGCTCTCCCTCTGTGGTGCCTCCAGTGCCCGGGTGCCTTGGGAACCAGCTGGAAGCCAAGCTGGACAAGCCGGATGTGGTGAACTGGATGTGCTACCGCAAAACGGAGGATTATTTCACCATCTGGCTCAACCTCAACACCTTCCTGCCAGTGGGGGTTGACTGCTGGATCGATAACACCAGGTACCATTCAACCCTGCCCCGGGAGCTCCCTGGGGAAATGACCTACCAAGGATCTCCCTCCCCTCTCCTCCCCCTGGCCATGACTGAGCACACAGGGAATAATATGGGAGGACCACGGGATTGTTTGGGAACACAACTATCTGGCTACGGCTGCCTGTCCCTTTCCCACATTCCTGCCATGTGCTCTGCCCAGCCAGGCTGTCCTGAGCACCCACTGGAAATTCTGCCACCCCGCCCAGGGCCACAGGGTGAGGGGGCTGCTGCAGCCTGCTCCATCAGAGCCTGCTGTCCCGGGATGCCAGGCAAGAGGCACGGACACTGGCTGGGCACCAGTCCACCTCCCCATCCACACAAGGCTTGGAAACAGCCCCCCAGCTCCCAGCTGCCACCCAGTGATCTCCACCCCAGCCCCACGTCCCCATGGGGACATGGCTCTTCTGCTGCCTCCTGTCCTGTCCCTGCAGGGTGGTGTACAACCGAACCTCTCGCAGAATGTCCAATGCCCCAGGGGTGCATATCCGCGTGCCTGGGTTTGGCAAGACCTACTCTGTGGAATACCTGGATCAGAGCAAGCTGGCAGGTGAGAGGAGAAGCGAGGGGTGTCTGGGGGGATCCCACGTGCTCCCTGCACATGGGGAGGTGTCCCCATGTCTCCAGCAGGGATTGGTTCTGCAGAGAGCTCAGGTCTCTGGGAATGAGGGGCATTAGCCTTGTGAACACACAGCCTGTGAATGCCCGCAGGGACCACCCTGTCCTTGACCCCAGTACGCAACGGGATACACAGAGCCACTATGTCTGGCTGGAGCCACCAAGCTACGGGGCTTACCAGAGGACATTTTGGTTGTGACCAGGACCAGGATGGAAAAAGGTTGACAAGAGAAGACCACAGATGTAACCCCAACCTGTTCTCTCTGCTCGCAGGTTACCTGCACACGCTGGTGCAGAACCTGGTGAACAACGGCTACGTGAGGGACCAGACGGTTCGGGCAGCCCCCTACGACTGGAGGGTTGGACCCCGTAAGTCTGGGGGTTGTGGCCAGGCCCTGCATGCGGGGAGGGAGCAGGATAAGCCTCATGCCATCGTGCTCCCCTCTTGTCCACAGAGGACCAGCCCGAGTACTTCCAGAACCTGAAGGCGCTGATCGAGGAGATGCACGACGAGTACCAGAGAGGCGTCTTCCTCATCGGGCACAGCATGGGCAACCTGCACGTCCTCTACTTCCTGCTGCAGCAGACACAAGCCTGGAAAGATCAGTACATTGGGGGGTTCATCTCCCTCGGTGCCCCCTGGGGAGGGTCCGTCAAGCCCCTGCGTATCCTGGCATCCGGTGGGTGACTCCTTGCGTGCAGCAATCTCCCCGTTTTCTTTCCCTCCTGCAGAAATGGAAGGGATGGGCAGAGAAGAGACACACGGTGTTGGAAGAGGTGGGGGAGCCAGTTCCTCTTTAGACTGTTTGCAGCCCAGAAAGCCACAGTCACTTGCCTAACACTGACAGCCCAGAATATCCACAAGTCACAAGCTGAGCCTCCCAAAACGCATGGGAATAAAAATCATGTGATTGGAGGTTGAACATCTGGCCCCCTTGCATCATCCTTAAGTCACCTGCTCATATTTTTCTCTGTTGCCACAAGAGCCAGAGGTATTTTTAAGGTCATCTGGGTTCATTCCATGATCTTAGGATGCAGACACAATGCCAAGGCTTGCAGGAGACATGCACGTTGGCCACCCACTATCAGGCTCAGCTCACTCCTGTCCCTGCAGGCAGGAGTGGAGGTGCTGGGATTGCCAGGGAAAGTTCAGGGCTCAGTTGTTCTGGGCTATCAATCACACATCCAGGTTTGTTTATGCTCAGCCCCTCCAGGCAGCTCGAGATGGGGAGAGAAGAGTTTGGAAGGCTGTTCCCGATAGCTGTAGCCAGAGGGGTGAGGAGAGGACATATGATAATGGGCAGGGTAGGACATATGATCACAGGCAGGGTAGGGGTAAGGAGGGGAAGAGCTGAGCTGGGTCTGGCCAGGAGACAGCCATGTGTCAGTGCTGGGAGAGGCTGATCCCAAAGCCTCCATCTGCGAGGGTACGTTGTGGTGCTGTTTCTGATGAGCCCCCGTGTGTCCCGCAGGTGACAACCAGGGCATCCCTCTCATGTCCAACATCAAGCTGCGCGAGGAGCAGCGCATGACCACCACCAACCCCTGGATGTTCCCAACGACCCTGGCCTGGCCTGAGAACCACGTTTTCATCTCCACACCCTCCTACAACTACACCTACCGGGACTACCAGCGCTTCTTCACCGACGTCAACCTGGAGGACGGCTGGTACATGTGGGAGGACATGAAGGACCTGCTGAAGGACTTGCCCCCTCCTGGGGTGGACACGTACTGCCTGTACGGCACAGGCTTCCCCACGGCGGAGACCTACGTGTATGACGAGCGTTTCCCTTACGAGGACCCCGTGGACATCATTTACGGTGACGGGGACGACAGCATCAACACGCGCAGCTTGGAGCTGTGCAAGCGGTGGCGCCACCAGCAGAAGCAGAAGGTGCACGTCCAGGAGCTGCGAGGGGCCCACCACTTCAACATGGTCTTCAGCAACCTGACGCTCAGTTACATCAACGAAATCCTGCTGGGGAGCCAACAGGAGCAGGGGGAGACGGGGGAAGTGAGATCCAACCCAGAGGCTGGGAAGGGGGGGAAGATCCTAACTGGGCACGAGGTCCTTAAGGAGCCTAAAAAGAACTGAAAGGAGTGAGGGCCAGCTTCCCTCCATGATGGTGGCCACCAGAAACTGCCATGCAGGGGAGCAAAGGATTCGGAGCTGAGTTTGGAAGGAAAGTGAGCAAGACCAGCAGCTCAGGTGGATGGGCTGGCACCCACTTCCACACTGATTGGTTTTTCTTTTGGGAATGGTGATTAATTATATTTCAGAGGCTTGTCACCTCCCACTAGCGGGTGCATAATTAACCATGCTGCCAGCTCATTAACATCACACTCATGAATTCCAGCGTACGCACAAGCCCTTCTCGCTAGCAAGCCATGTTTAGGCACTTTAGAGGCTGTGGAGCCCACGGTGCTCACCTGGAGCCTCTGCTCACCTGGGACAATGAGAGCAGGCTCTGACTTACTGGGGTGGTCACGGAGGTGGCACAGGGGTGGCACAGCAGGTATGGCTTACAAGAGCAGTGAGCTAGGCTCCTCAGGCAAGACCAACTCAAAATCAGCAGATTTACAACATAATAAACACAATTTGCTTCTGCACGCTGAGCCTGCCTTGTCCTTCACAGCAGGGTAGTGGAGCCAGGAATAAGCAAAAAGCGAGGTTCTCGCTGCTCACAGGCACCTCAGGAGCCAAGGCTTTGGGGAAAAACACACGGTCAGTGATGCAACTGGGGTCGGCAACACAGCCAGGGCTGGCAACGTGATCGAGGGTCACAGTGTGGGTGGGGTTGGTGACACAACCAGCGTGGCACTCGGGGCTTGGGCTGGTGACACAGCCAGCGCTGGTGATGTTAGTGGGGCTTGATGCTGCGACCGGCGCTGGGAAAGCGACTGGGAGATGGAAACATAACTGGCCTTGGAAACGCAAACTGGCGGCTGGTGATGCCGCCGGGGTTGCCGGTACCGCCGGTGTTGGTGATGCAGGCGGGGTTGCCGGTACCGCCGGTGTTGGTGATGCAGCCGGGGTTGCCGGTACCGCCGGGGCCGGCGATGCCGCCGGTGTTGGTGATGCAGCCGGGGTTGCCGGTACCGCCGGGGTTGGCGATGCCGCCGTTCCCGGCGCCGATTGGCGGCGGGCGGTGCGTGGCCGGGGCAGGGCGGTGCGGGGCGGGTCGGGGCGGGGCGCGGGGCCGGCGCAGCCCCGCAGCGGCCGCGCTGGAGGCCGCGGCCATGGGCGCGAGGGGCCATGGGCTCCGGGGCTGCGGGCGGGCCGGCACACGGCAGCGCCCCGCTCTGCCCCTGCTCGCCGCCGCCACCACCTCCCCCGGAGCCGCGCCCCGCACCGCGCTGCCCGCGGGGGACCCGCCGGCTCTCGGAGACCGGTGCGGGGCGGCGCGGGGAGGGAGCGGCGGGGCGCGGGGGGCTGCGGGCCGCCGCCTCGCTGCCGCACATCGCGCGGGGCCGCGGCGAGGAGGGCGCCGGGCGCCGCAGCCCCTGCCTGCTCGTGGCGCTGCGGCCGCGCAACGTGGAGGCGGAGCGGGAGCGCTTCTTCCGCGCCAGCTTCGCCTACGACCCGCAGTTCGAGTACGCGGAGCCGGTGCCCGCCGCCGTCCTGGACAAGTACGGGGCCGCCTCCGACCGCTTCGTGACTCAGGTGGGTCCCGGGGACCGGGAGGGATGTTCGGCCTGGGGGGAGGAGGAGAGGAGCGGGGGGACCCTGGCTCGCTGCGTTTTCCGCGGGAGGGTGTGGGTACCCACGTGGGTATCCACCGGGATGTATCATGGTGGGGCCGGCCAGGCGCTGGTCCATGGTCACAGACTCCTGGAATGGTTTGGGATAGAAGGGATCTTAAAGACCCCACCCCCTGCCATGGACAGTGACATCTTCCGCTGGACCAGGTTGCTCCAAGTGCCATCCAACCCAGCCTTGGACACTTCCAGGGATGGGGCAGCCACAGCTTCTCTGGGCAACCTGTGCCAGGGCCTCACCACCCTCACAGACAAGAATTTCTTCCTAATGTCCAGCCTAAGCCCACCACTCTGTGTCAATTCAAAGCCATTCCTCCTTGTCCATGTGAAACCTCACAGCCTGCTTTCCTTCCCAGCTGCTGCCTGACCCTGCTCGTCCTCAACACCTTTTGTACCCTGCCTTCAGCACGCTCACCCTGTGATTTCTTCAACCTGTTTTTAGTTACCTCCCCTACCTGCAGCAATAGTACCTGCTCTGTGGGTGACATGGGTGCTGGTCATACTGGTGCTGGGTGATGCTACCAGTGTCCACCCGTTGGCCAAGTTGGATGGGGCTTTGAGCAGCCCAGTCGTGCTGCCCATGGACGCGGGGTTGGAACTAAACAATCTTCAGGGTCACTTTCCACCCAGACCAGTCTGTGATTCTATGATCAAACTGTCTCCTGCTTACGCTGGGAGCTGTGCTCCATCATGGGCAACTTGCTGGTGTGTTTTTGCACTTGCTGCTGTAGAAATAGCAGCCAAGGATCTGGAGCACGTGTGTGACAATGTGGGAAGCGGTCCTTAGCCTGAATGACCTGGTGGTTAAGTCTGGCTTGTTTTGTGGAAGGCCTAAAGGTTGTCCATTCCAGCAGCATCCTTAAGGCATCAGCAAATATGGTTGTTAATGACATTAGTTGGTGTGGACTCTGCTTGAGGAATCTGTATTATTTTGTATAACTCTGTCCATGTTTCCTCTTCTGAAATATTCCCAGCTTGCTCTCTGCCATGGGGATGGCACTGAGCAAACAGCTCCTGGTCGTTCAACAGGAGGACAGGGTCAGGAGCGTGCTTTCAGGGTGCTCTGCCCACAAACGAGCCTTTCTGGGATGCAGGGAGTGGAGCTGCTCCATGCTTGGAGCTGGGAGCCCAGCCATGCCCCAAAACCAGTTTGCTCCCAGGGAGAGCATCCTGCCTCTGGGAAGAGCATCCTTTCTGCCACACAAAGAAGGGAGCAGATAAAAACCTCTGATCCTGAATTCCCACTGGCACGCCTGAGCTGTTCCTTTGCACCTCCTGGTCGGGAGCGCTTTGTTCAAACAACAACTTATTTGCTGGTTTATTTATTGCTTTTTGAATGTTTACTTCTTCCTGCATCACTGCCTGTGCCTCTGCCTGCATTATTATCCCAATGATTCAGGCCCTTTCTGTAAACAGCTTTCTAAGCAGTTCATCATTCCCAGTGCCTGCCATACCTCTGCCCCAGATAAACTGGTGCCAGCAAGGCTGTTGCAGGGAAGACACTCCAACTCCTGCAAAGACCTCGCTGGCTTTTTTGCATTTCCCTCCTGTGTTTCAGTGCTGTTTCATTCCCTGAGTCATGCAGCAAAATGAGTTGCTCGGAGCTATTTCCCCCCCCAGTACTTTCTCATTTGGTGCAGTGGACTTCCAGCATAGTAAAAAATGAATAATTGAGATTATTTTTCTCTGGGCAGTACTTTGAATTAATGGAATTAAGAGCTTGTAACCACTGTAAATGGTCTCATCGTGGATCCTAAAACCTTTTGCAAGGGACATGAAGTGTTGAGTGTCTCTACCAGTGTTTCTCTGAGTTCTCCTGTGTCCGTGTGATGGACTATTCATGTCACTGTTCCTTTGCTCTTACCCTGCAGTAACCTCCTTCCAGTCTCTCTTATTTTGGGAAGCCTTTTTCCTTGCCAGCTCACTGTTAGTAATAAACTGTTTTTATTTGCAAAGACCTTCATTAATCATAGAGCTTAAATAAGTGAGACATTTTGCTAAGTCAGCATCCTTGGACATGAGCAGGCAAACCAACACCAGCTCCCTGCCTCCAGCTGCTCCACCAGCTGCTCTGCATGTGCTGAAGGGGTTATTTAATAGAAAAATTAAATAAACCAGGAGGATTCTTCCAGCCCCATGGAGGCTCATCACCCTGGAGATCACATCCCTGGTTTGTGACGTGAACGTGAGCAGCACCAGCCTGGAGCTGGGACTGGAGGATTTGTTATCCCACTGCATATGGTGGGTGCATGATTTGGAGATGCTCAGGACACTAAACCTGATATCTCAGGAATTTTGCTCTCCAGGACGTGCACTGAAGTTCAAGGAGGAGTGTGCTCTTTGGTTGTCTTCCTCCTGGGCACCAGCTGTGCTGGGTTTCTCTTGGCTTGGTGCTTTGGGTCCCCTGGGAGGAGAGAGAGAAAGTGGCTGAGCAGAGGTGGGAGGACAAAAGGTCCTTTTTCTGCCTTGGTCGGCGGGAGCTGCAAAAACGAGCGTGATCATTCAGCAAACAAAGCAAAAAACAACAAAAAAACTCCCAACCTAAAAACCACAAAACTCAGAGCACAGAACTGTGCACAGCTCCTCCTGGGAAGACACTGTATTTTGAGAATAAAAAACAGCTGTGAAAACTGCCCAGGGAAGGAAAATCAGTACCTTCTTCAGGGGTAGAGGAGGTTGTTCACCAGATGCAGACCACAAAGCTCCTTTTAGGATCATAGAGGTGTTAGGTGGGACAAGACCCTTAAGATTAAGTCCAGCCATTACCCCCAGCATTGCCAATCCCACCACTAAGCCACGTCCCCAAGTGCCACATCTGCATGTCTTTTAAATCCCACTAGGGATGATGACTCCACCACTTGAGCAGCACTTGGTCCTGGGCTGGGAGGCCTGGCAGCAGCTCAGCCACATTTGCAGGTGCAATAAAACTGTTGGAAAACCTCCAGAATTGGGTGAAAGCCATTGTCATCTGCTTTGGGATATATATTGCTATAATATTGATATTAATACATATTAATATATATTCCAGTGACCGGGAAAAGTTGTTGCTTGAAAATGTCTACGGTGAGAACACACTTTTGGGGGAGGAAACGTGCTAATAAATGTTGGCATTTTATAGATGCTCCATAAACGTTAATGCAAATAGAGGAACACGTGCTGCTGTTATTAGAAGGCTGCTGGGTGTGCAGCAGGCTGGTGGTGCTGAGACCCTGTTTGGAGCAGCATCACTGCAGAGGGTGATGCACAACCTGGCTGCCAAGCTTGGAATTCGGCGCTGTGGTAAGAAACTCTCGGAGTAGAGAGCAAGCAGGGAAGCTGGAGCTCGTTGTGCAAGCACCAGAGTTTGAAAGGAGAACTGAAAGCAGAAAAGATTGAAAATAATCCCGGCCTTAACCGCGCTGGGACGATGCGGTTTCGCTTCTGCTTGGCCCCGTTCCCGCAAGAGATGCTTGCAAGGCTGACAAAAAGCAGAAAGAACACGCTGTGGGGTCATGCTGATTGCGTGAAGTGTCTGACTGTCCTGGTGGCCACCTCCAGCCAAGTCACTCTCCTTGTTTTGTTTTTTTTTCAGGTATTGCAGAACCACCTCTCATTTTAGAGGCGTTAATCGGGGATTGTCTCCGCTGGGTTCGTCGCACGTGGGTTTTTAAAGGTGAATCTTTGGGCAGGGAGGATGTTTGCACTGATGTTTTGTTTTCTGTGTGCAACAGGCTATCAGGATCATCCGTGCAGTCCTGGAGAAGTATGGGACCTACGAGAGCTTCGAGGTCGCCACGGGCGGGAAGCTGCTGAGCAAGTGCCAGATCTGGTCCGTGATCCGAAAGTACATGCAGAAGGAAGGCTGTGTGGGAGAGGTAATCCACATCCCTCCTTTATCTCTTGTGAAATACAGCAAAATATTTATTTTCTGATAAAAAGGACTCCGATTAAGAAATGTTTTGGGTACAAAGAGGAAATTTTTTTTTTACTCTGAGTTGTGGTGGTGTCCTTTCATCTTCTGCTTGGCTGTGTTCGCTGTACTCTGGCATTAGGGCATGGGTGCTGATTTTCCACCAATTTCCCATGAATTTTTTCCATGTGTATCTCCCTTTTATGCTTGAGAGAGAGGGGGGAGCTGCTACTTGTCTACATGTCCATGCCAGGAGCCTTTTGCTGTGTGCATGAGGCATCAATTACTGTCAGGAAGCCATCTCCTGCTGTTGGCTTTGGGATGGCAGATGTCTCCAACAGCTGCCTTTGTCCACGCGTCCAAAAGCAAAGCCAGGGGCAGAGATTTCCTGCTGTCCTGCAAGACATGCTGGGTTGTGGTGCTTTGAAACCCCAAGCTGGGGTTTTGAGGCTGGGAAATAGGTGGTTAAGATGCACCCATGTAGCCATGTGGGATGAAGCCCAGGGAGTTCAGCATCTCCTGACCTGGTTTCTCTGTAACCCCAGCAGCATCCAGGACAGGATGTCCCACAGCTGCAGTTAAGGGGCATTCTTTTTCCCCCTTCTGCCAGCAAGGTGTGGCCAAAACACTTCCAGTGTCCTGGATTCAAGGGCTGAGAAGGATTTCTGGGGCTGGCTTTGTGTGGTTTGGCTTGCAGGGCTACCTTGGGCTGTCGGCTGCAGGGCAGAGCTCATGCATTGCTGGCTGATGTGGCAGCTTCCTCACCACTGCCTCTTGGCCAGACTGTATTTCCTACCTCTGATTTTCCACCTCCATCTCCAAGCAGGGTTGTTGATGGGCATTTCTCCAAAGCATCAGCTTTCCCAGTGGTTCCCAGAGCATTCCATGCCTGCAGAAGTGGGAATGAGTGGTCCCCTGAGGCCCTACCTGCTCAGGGGATGTTTCTCCTCCAGCACCCGTGGTTTGCCCTGATCCCTCCTGAGGGTGTCCCTGCAATGTGGATTTGGCCCCTTGGCCTCCTAAGCCTTTGCTTTGGACAGAAAGGGTTTCTGCAGATCTTTTCCTATAATTCAGCTGCCTTTGAGTGCCCAGACCCAGTCTCGATACCCAGACAGAAAGCTGGCCAGTCTTACAGACCTGCACTTATGGCTTGCTAGTTGAGCTCTATATCTTGGTTTTATCAATTGATCAGGTTTAACTCTTCTCTCCTCCATTAACCGGGCTGCAGCTGGGCACAAAGCCATCTTTTTGTCTTACATTATTAGTGTAAAGTGGCTTCCTTCCAACCCTGTGTAATTCTCCCTTTGCTCAGAGCTATCAGGGCTTGGATTCGATGAACTTTGTGGGTCCATTCCAACTCAGGGCAATGCAGGGTTCAATCACTGTGTTTGCACATGGGTGTGCGAGATATGTGGCTCTTTTATCTGGGACTTTTGATAAGTGCTTTTAAAACAATTAAAGCACTAGTTTGTTCCTTCCTGTGGAACCATTAGAATGTCTCTGGGGTAGGGAAGAAGGGAAGGGTTTTGCCTGCTCTCAATGCAGCGATGTTGGCTCCCTGTGCAGGAACAGAACTTGCTGAAACTTCTGCGTCGCCGGCAATTTCACTCCCTGGCGGGGATCTGGGTGGCTTCAGGCGTGTTCCTCCCTCCCTGCACCTGTATCTCTGATCCCTGACTTTCACCATCTGTGCCCTGTCTCTTCTGCTGTGCCCTTTGCTTCCCTGACACCTCCTAATCACGAAAAAGAGGAGGAACTCACGCGGTGGTAGCATTAGCCCAGAGACCGAGCGGCTGGTGTGCCCCTGCCCGCAGTCAGTGCTGGCAGGCAGCATGGCCAGGCTGGTGGCAGCCACTGCAGGCAGCTGCCCTGTGTCCCCGTCACCGATCGGCAAAGGCAGGAAGGATCCCACTTTCCGGCACCGCAGGCAGCGCGCTCCTGGGTAAGTATTCGCGCTGCAATTAACTTCGTGCCCTCAAAAGCTGCTTTTTTCGGGGTCCAAGCTGCAGATCCTGAAGCTCTGCTGCTTTTCTTTTGCCTCAGGACGGAGGTGATGCTGCCGGAGCTCGGAGGCCTCCGTATGGATTTTGGCGAGCTCACAGCTTGCAGCAGAGAAACACCCGGCCCCGTTGGTAAGTGCTGCATGGTAATCCCTGGGGTTGTGGAATGCTGTCAGCCTAAACAGCACTAGCTGGTGTCTCCTGGGATCCCATCCGTGGTGTCCCCCTGTCTCTGAGCTGCCTTCTCAGTGTCAGAGGTGCTTGGGATGAGCTTTTTCTCCATCATTGAATCCACAAAAGTGGAGCAGAAGCTTGATGGGCCACGACAATTCACTGGGGGGGCTGCTCAGAGCAAGAGAGGTCACAGACCCCGAGGGCTGGCGCTGCTGCTCCAGGAGCAGGATTTGGGCTGGAGTCACAGCCCTGGTTGTAACAACATCAGCAAAGCTGGAGGGTCCTGAAATAAGGCAAGTGGTGCTGCCCAGTGGGATGGGCTGGTGCTGCAGGAGAAGGGCTCCAGCAGGCAGCAGAATGGCAGCGTGTGTGAAGCTGCGGTCTCCAGCAAGGCCAGGAGTCCCTCTGCCAGTGCTCCTGGGTGACTGGCTCTGTGTGGGGAGCCACAGGTGAACTGGTAAGTCTCTTCTCTGCACTGGAGGGATTCCCTTTCACGCTGGTGTATTTTCATCCAGGTAAGCAGTTGTGCTGTAAGTATTTCATGCTGTTTGTTTGCCCAGCGGTGGACTCTGTTACGCTGCTCTTTTGGCTTTCATAATAAATAGTAATATTAATAATAAATCTGATTTAAAGCAAACTAATTCAGTCTCCTCTCCTTTTTTTTTTTTTTTTTTTTTTTTTTTATTAAAAGATTTGTCCCTTAGTAATGCATACACATGTTTTCATCCTGAAAACTGTCAGCTGGGAAATAACAGATGGTTTGTAGAGTTAATATCTATGTAGGGGAAGAGTTTTGATTGCTGTCCTTAGGGTTGCCGCTGCCAAACCTTGGATGCAAGAGCTCCCAGGGACCATCTCCAGCGATGCTGCAGCTTTGAGTCACTGCAGGTCTGAAGTTGGGTGGTCAAAAAGTGCTGCTTGGTTGGCACATTAACTCCTGTTCATGGAGAGCAGCTCCCTTGGCTCCAGTGCTTGCAGTAGCCAGTTTTCCCAAAATAGCTGGTTTTTTCTGCAGAAAGATACTGGCTAGTCCTGCACATGTGATGCCCATCCCTGCTGTGAATTGTGGGCAGCACACACGGTTCCTTCTGTGAGGGTGGGCTGGCATGGAGCCATCCTCACTGCTCGTGTTTTGGAGCCTTGAATGGGGAGAATCTGCAGGGGGAGTCCATGAAAGTGGAGCCAGGGCCTTGGGCCCCCAAGGAGATGTTTGTTGGGGGGTGCAGAGGTTGGACCCATAACAACATCGGTGCTGTTGGGTGTTCAGAGCAGGCTTGTTTTGGTGGCCAGTGTTAGTGCTCCATCCCACTGCCAGTGGGGATGCAGAAGCAGGGCCAGGCAGGTCTCCAGAGCATGCCTATCATGTGTGGCCACAAAATTGTGGGCAGCCCATGGGAACAAGCGGGTGGAGGCGATGCTGGAGCCGGAGGGATGCTGGAGGAGGCTGCTTAGCAGCTGCCTGCTGCCCCCACAGTGCCTGCTCAGCTTTGTTGGCTGTAAAGAGATTAAAGGAGCTATTTCATCCCCTGCATGGGATCATCTCTTTCCTCTCATTATCCCCCCCAGTGGCTCCTGCTGTCTGTGGTTCCTTTGGGGAGCTGCAGCACGTGCCAGTGACGGTGCAGCAGAGCCGAGCAGTGCCACCCGTGGTGTCAGTGGCTTTTCTCTGACCATCTGCCACCGTGTCAGGCTCTGCTGAGAGCCAAGACCCTGCTGATGGCAGTTGCCTCCTCCTTCTTCCGCAGGTGGTGGTGCAGCTCACCGATGACCTCCTGTCCCAGGCGGTGATGATGGTGGAGGACAGCAGGCCCACACTGGCCATCAACCTGGCTGGAGCCCGGCAGCACTGGCTGGAGGGGATGCTGCGCCACGAGATAGGTCAGCATGGGGGGGGAAGGTGGCTGTGGGGTGGGAGGCACAGCGGGGGGAATGCTGTGGGCATCCTTAAGGTAATGGTCTGGGGCAAGGTGGTACCCACAGGTCCTGGGCAGGTTTTGGAAGGGGCTGAGGCCACCTGCACCCCTCTCTGTGTGTGCAGGGAGGGCATGTTGGGCTCCCACCTTTTTACCCATGCCCTGGCCTCCTCCTGGCTACCAGAGCGAGCTGATGCCCCACGGCCAAGACTGGAGCTGGCACCCAACCCCAGCGACTCAGGGCAGGGAGGGTGGGAGCTGAGCATTTTTGGAGGCTGTGGGTGACCACACTCACCCCTGTCCCCCCCTCCCCAGGCACCCACTACATCCGGGGCGTGAACAACACGCGCCAGCCCTGGCACAGCTCCGAGGGCCGCAAGCAGTACAGCCTGAAGCCCGCCAACCCCACGGAGGAAGGCTTGGCCAGCCTGCACAGCGTCCTCTTCCGCAAGCAGCCCTTCCTGTGGCGGGCAGCGCTGCTCTACTACACCATCGAGCGGGCCAGCCGCCTGTCCTTCTCCGCCCTCTTCCAGGACCTGGAGCAGTACGTGCAGGACGCCGGTGTCCGGTGGGAGTACTGCGTGCGGGCGAAGAGGGGCCAGACAGACACCTCACAGCCAGGTACCACGGAGAGGGGTTGCAGAGCCTTTGGGTTTTGGGGAGGGAGGGTTCTTTTTAATTTTTTTTTTTTTTTAAAAGGAGACCATAAGGTGGCTGTGTTCTGCTGCTGGGTGGGTTGGGCATCACCAGTCCTTGTAGTGGTGGCTCGGGCTCGTGGCTAGAACACCAAGAGTAAATTTATTTCCATTACCTCACTAACCAGGGGATCCCCAAAGCAACACCTCGGCAGGGGTACACAGGATCAGAGGATCACTGGCCTGCTGTTGACAGGCTTATCAAGAGTTACTCCCAGGTGCAAGGTCGACTGAGCAATTTACAATCTGCCCTGCTAGTCTTCTGCTTTTAACCCCTTCCTCACAACATGTAGCCATGGCAGCCCTCCCTCACATCCCTCCTCATCCCCAGCACTGCTCTCCTGTGGGATTACACTTGTCCCGTAGGAGTGACTTGCATAAGCTTCTGGGGAAGCAGCAAAGGAGAGAAAAAAATGAGAATTACTGTGGATACATTTGGATTCTTGCAGTGGTTCACCATTAAAAAAATGACTTTGGAAGAAGGATGAGACCATCCCAGTAAGGTGTAGGGGACTCCTGCTGCACCCAGCTGCCTCCCCAGTGCTCATTCCTTGGGACTCAGCAGTCCTGGGCCCTGGAACACTCGTGGCCCGGTGCTCTCATTCTGTTTCTTGCAGTCAGCAAACATTCAGGCAAGTGGTGGGTGGAGGGAAGCCAGGCTCCCTCTCCCAGGCCTCTTCTGCTCTTCCAGGATGTTTCAGTAAGGACCAGGTCTACCTGGACGGGATTCTCCGCATCCTGCGCCATCGGCAGACCATCGACTTCCCGCTGCTGGCTGCGCTTGGAAAGGTAATGGAGTGGGGCTGGCTCATCCCAGAATCCCATCCCATCCTGAAGGTCACACAGGCTCTCGCTCCCATGGCTTCCCAAAACCCAGCCCTTGCCTGGCAGCCCTTCCCCTCTCTGCCTTTCCCTGCACTTGCAGGTCTCAGTGAGCAGGGAAAGGCAGTGCTGGGTAGGATGCAAGGAAGGACAGGACAATCCGTAATCCTCTGTGGGAGACTTTCGGGAAGAGGCTTAACCCAGCAGGTTAAGCTTTGCTGGCCCTCAGCCACAGCAGTCCTGCTGTCACCTGGCCCTGCAGTGACAGAAAATTACCAAAACTACAAATCCCTGCAAATCCCACATCCCCAGCAGCTTTCCCGCTGCCTCCCCGCAGGCAGGAGGGATATTTGGGCAGTGTGGGGGGTAGGGGGTGAACCAGGTGGGCTGCAAGGGGGCCAGATGCTCCCTTGGCACCTGCTAGGGTTTGGAATGGAGGGGACTGACCCTGTCCCCCTGCTTCCCATCAGGTCTCCTACGAAGATGTGAATCGGCTGAAGAAATTCGGGGTCCTGGAGAAGGCGCGCATCCCCCATTTCATGCAGGACCTGGAGCGGTACATGAAGCAGCTGGATCACATCGTCACCACCAACGGCCTGAACGAGGAGGAACTGGAGCAGCTGCTGCCTGACTGAGGGGCAGCCCCCAAACCAGCACCCCAAGGGTGTAACTGGTGCCATTTAACTGGGTATTTATTGGGGCTGGAGGAGAGGGCAGAGCCCGAGCCGGGTGCCCGGGGGGCCGCTGTGCATGTACCGCTGTGTAGGGTAGCGCGGCCGAGGGCCAGTGTGGGTAGTGTTGATGTGTTCCCCCCCAACATCGTCCCTGCGTATTTTGGGGACGGCTGTGCGGCTCCACGTGGCTTTGGGGAGCTGGAGAAGAGGGTTCAGGGGGAGTGAGGGCAGAGCTGGGGCGACGTGCTGGTCCCCGAGTGCAGAAGGCTGTGCCGGGGAGTTGCAATGGGGGGATTTCCATACGGATCCTGGGGGTGCTCCCAGCACTGCGGGGGCACCTACACGGGGCCAGCAGACAGGGCTGGGGGCTCTGTGCTGTGCCTAGCAGGGAATCCAAGGGCTGGCCTGCACCCAGAGATCTCCCCATGGATGCCTTTGCTGCTCCCTATGCTTCCCCTCATGCCCCCCACCAGCAGCAGGAAGGACTTGAATCCCCCAAATACCAATCTCTGTCCAGCTCTGCACCCCAACTGCAGCCACCCCGCCTGGCTTTGAGGACTCAGGGTGGGGATTGGGCTTGATGTTAGTCAAAAGCGTGTAATAAAGATGATGTAATGGAAAAGACGTGTGGGCAGAAGGTTGTGGACAGCATCAAAAACCAGGCTGGCACCACTGTGAGCGCCTGCTGTGCATCTCGCTGGCACAGGCAAACCTGCGTGGTCAGGAACAGGAAGGGGTCACTGGGGTCTGTAAAACAACAACATGGGCAGGGACAACATCAATAAATCAAAAGTAGGCAAACATAAAAACTGCCCTGAGTTGTTCCTGGTCTCTAACACATGAACTCTGCAGCAGTCACGGCACCCCTGGGAGAACCCTCCCCAAAAAATACAAAAAAAGCCAAACCCACAGCTCCTTGTCTTACATCACACAGACCAAGCCTGGGAAAAGGAGGAAAGCACTTTCCTCTGGGGTTTCTGCTTCCCTCTGGTCCAAATCTCCAGGAACATGCTGGTATTTTTCACAGCTCCCCCTCATGAACTCACTGCCCAGCACGGTCAATTAGACTCTGCTCTTTAATGTACTATTTCCTCCCAACATTGCACTCCCCAACCTCGAACGCGGTAACAGCGCTGCTTTAAAAAGGTATTTACACACATCCCAGCACCACCACCACCCCTCCCTTGTCATCCCAAGGAGCAAGGCCTCAGCCGGCACCAAGACCCAACCAAGGGAAGTCTCTTGCGGCCTTTCTAGCGGAATGGCAGCAGTGACAGAGGGCAAGGAGCTACTGCGGTGGTTTCGGATTGGTTGCGGTCGCATCCCTGATGAAAACAACGGCGTGTGGAGATGAGAGATCGCGTTATCCGTCCCCAGCCAGGGCTAGAAGCGCTTCATCTGCCGGCGTTCTTGTCGGCGCTGCTTCTTCTCGTTGGGCTCCTGGGCGGCGGGCGAGGACTCCGCCGTGAGCCAGGGCCCCAGGATGTTCACCCACAGGAGGTAGAGCGCGCGCCCCGGAGCCTGCAAAACACGCGTGGCACAAACTCGGTCACTCTGGGGACAGCAGGGCTGCGCTCAGGACTGACTGCTGGTCCTGCTGAGGGAGACAGAGGAGCTGGAGCATCTCCGCAGGCTGGATCGGGGGCACCTCAGGATGCACGGAAATCAAAGGCGGTGGCGGGTGGCCAAAATAAACGGCCCGATTTCATTTCATCTCGTTTAGGAACCTGCCTACGTGTACAGCTCTCAGGGCTTCATATATGGAAATCCCAGCATCGGGTCTGAATTGCCCCAGGGGGATCCAACTGCCCAGACATTCCGTCTCTCCTTCCTTCAGAAAACACACCCACATTTCTCTGAATTTAAAAAAAAGTGATCCAGATGGTCTCCAGGGCACAGCCAAGTCTAGGCTGCCCTCTGCCAGGCCAGCGAGAGAGGAATTTGTGGGTGAGGACTGAAATGAGATCAAGGACTGAAACGGGGTAACTTTCCATGCTCCCACAATTGCCTTCTGTACCTTTGTGCGATATCCTCAAAGCAACTGTGGGATTTTTTTTTTTTTAACTGGAGATTTTTTTGTCCTTCAGCACAAGCAGCTTTAGCTGGAGGCACATGACAAAAGTTTCAGGAGTAGAAAGAGTTTGGTCTGTTAAGGGGAAATTGATGCCTACAGCATTTTATCTACAAATAGGCACAGTGTCCAGCAGATCCCAGCCTTGGTCCATGCTGAATGACTGAGAAAGCCAAACAAGAAGAAACACTGTTTGTTACAGTCACAGAAAGGCTCTGTGCTCAAAGACAGCTTTGATCTGCCTCGTGTTTCTTGTTGCCCTTTCTCAGGACCAGAGGGAAGGGCAAAGGCCAGCCTAGCTTTTGTGTGGTTGACCCAGAGGGATCAGGACTTCTCTGCCATGTGCGGCCTCGTTTTTAACATGATTTGACAAGGAGATTAAAAAACATATCAGAAAATGGCTTGGGCCTGAAACAGGACACTGAAATGAAATGGATAAATAATGTCCTCAGTCCTGAAGACAGGGCAAGACAGGGACAGTGCAGAGCAAGAAGGAAAACAGCAGTGGTTGGGGCTTACCAAGAGCCAGAAGTACCAGACGTAGGGCGAGAAGCAGCTCAGCACTTGGACTATAGCTGTCAGCAGGATCACATCCTTGAGGTGCCTGAGGGGAGAAAAGCAAAGCACTGAGCTTCCATTCCAGCCCACGCCAGCTCCTCTGCCAACACAGCCTGTCTGCACCACCTCCAGGGAGCCCGGCCCAACCCAAGGACTGTCCCTGCAGCCCTGCTTTGCCACACACAGTTATCTAGAAGAACCAGCAACAAAAAATAATCTGATGGGTTAAAGAGCTGAGCTCCCTCTGAAAAAAAAAGGACACTGAGAAAGCTGAGGAACTGATGGGGGATGGAGACCAGCAACAAACCCGCCCCCACAGCTGAAGCAGCAGCCAGCGCCTGCTGATTTGACACCTATCTTGACATAAAGTATAGCTGCTCATGACTGGCTGTGCTGGAGGGAGCCAGGAATCTTCCCCGTGCCATTTCACAGGCTGACAGACACACTCAGGGTCACCAAAGGACAGGCACACCAGCATGCTGAGCTACAGCAACACACTGGCTCCTCCTCCCCTCCTGTTTATCTGACTCCAGCATCTTCCATGCCAGCCTGAGGCAGAGCTGGGAGCCAGCTATGGAGGGGAACAAGCTGCCCACGCCTCAACCACCGCCCTCAGGGGATCTGACACCCAGGAGAGGTAAACAGGTATTAGTTTTTCAACACAAGCCTAAGGGAGCGCCATGAAGGGTTAGAAAAACACCAGCTCTCACTCTTGTTAAATCATCGGCTGCTGGAGAAAGAAACCCTCCAGTCGCATCCAAGACTGGGGACAGCAAAACAAAGGCAATGGCAAAGTGCAAAGCAAACTGACCACAAACAACATCGACTCAAGACACTGCAGAATCCACCAGCAACAGCTCTAGGGTAAGACATGGAGGTTCAGTAATCTCAGGCATCACCACAGGCCACAGAGTGCTGAGGGCAGAGCTCCCACCAAACCCAGCTGCTCTGCCAGAGACCAGCAAGATGGGCCATCCTCAACCCCAGAGCAACACAAAACATCCATTTCAGTTACAGGCAGCACGAGAGAGACACCATCAAAGCCACAGCACTCCAGGAGCACCTCCAAAGGAGCACACTCAGCTGAGAGGCAGGAAACATTCCCTTCTTTCTGAAGTAACCACTAGCTTACTGTGGTTCCCTGGTCCCAAAAGAGGTAATTCAGAGGTACAGGGTAAGGATGGGAACTTCAGCTCTGCAGGTTTTGTTCTTACAGCTCAGCTCTGCCTCCTCTGTGTTTTGCACAGCCCATGCCTCAGATAAGCATCAATTCATTTTAATGTGTCCTAAACCTTGGCCCAATTGCTCAGGCAGAAAAACCTCAAGGCCTCAATACCAAGGGAAGTACATCTGCAACCAGGGCTGCAGCAGTGCACTCATCACCTGTTTGGAGCAGGTAATCCCTGTATTACATCCTGTCATTTCCCCTGACAGCACCATCACTCACACACAGGACAGTTATTGGGGCACCCTCTCTGCCTCACACAACTCCCAGAGGCATCTCCCACAACCAGGAGGACACCACAAACATCAAACTTCTGTATTCTCCCTCCTCAACTGTCCCATGTTTTGTTTCACTAAAAAGATATTCAAAATATTTTGCAATTCCACTCTAGAGAGCCAAACCAGCATAAAATGGGAGAAAAACACATGGCTGAGCAGCAGGAAAATGAAGTCTCTATAGGATGAAGAGGGGGTAAAGCACCCAGCTCACAGGTCACACTGGAAATAACCCCCTCTCCTCCTGGCCACCTCGTCCCTCAGCTGAGTCTCCTGCACCAGACATGAGTCACTCCTGCTGCAGGTACAAGAGGTGCCACTCCACCAACACACGAGCTGAGAGCTCACCCTGTGCCCCACAAGTCGGTCTGCCTGCTGGTAACATCCCCAGCCAAAAATCAAACTTATCTTAGGAAAAGTTAAACCACACACATCAATATATGGCCCTGCCAGCACTGAGAACCCCTGACGTGACAGAGAGGGCTCAGCTGGGGACAAGGCCCCACTGTGCTGCTTCAAAAGCCTGGCAGCAGGGGAGGTAAACATGGAATGGTAGGCCAAGGACATGGGAGGGAAGGGGCCAAGGACTCCAGTACCTCACTAGCACATGCTGAAGATCCCCAGCAGAGGCTGGACCAACAGACAAAGAGCAAAGCCTGATGTGTCCATAACTACCTGGCAGTTTTCTGTAACTAGTTTGAGGCTCACTAATGGAAAACAAGTAAATCTAGAATGTATTTCTGCTGTTCCAGTGCTGCTGTCTCCTAATTTTATTTAACAGCACTTCTCATGACTGTTATGTGTCCCTTGACCAAGAAAAAGACAGTTACAGTAGCACCAAGAACACTGGAGAGGCAAACACTGCCTGCAGACAGACACAAGGAATGCACAAGGCGATAGAAATGGCTGAGGAGGTCACAGGAGCTGGCTGAGACAGAGGGGAGAATTTTCAGTGTGTAGAACAGTTCAAGGCACAGCCAGTTTGCAGCCAGGATGGGGTAACTGGCAGCATGTGCCCTTCTGCTCTGTCAAGCACCACCTGCAGAGGTGCTGCACTGTGTGCTGCAGCGGCATGCACAGAGTCAGTGCTGTTTCTTCACTGAAAGATGGTTATAAACTGCTCCCACTGAACCCTTTGTGATCTCTCACCTCTGCACCTCAGCCCTAAGAACACTGACTGTGCCAGGCTGGCACACCCACGTGGCAGCTCCTGACTGGGGCTCGCCAAGCCATGTGTTCAGATAATCAGGGCACTTAGGGTACACTCTCAGAAAATATGGCTACGGGCTTCCAGCCCCCATCCTGCCCACACCACGAGCAATCTGGGGCAGGAGCCTTCTCCTCGGGGGCCTCTCCTGGCTCTGCGTGCACGCTCAGGCAGCAGGTCCTGCTCACCTGGACTCGTGCGGGTGTGGACACTCACTCTGCCATCCCCTGCTCCATATTCAGGTCAATTCCCCCGTCGGCAAGGCTGCCATCGTCTGTGAAAGACGGCTTTGCCATGGAGTTCATGGACCGGTAGCTGGTGCCGTAGACCACCGAGCTGAAGGCGAACGCGAGCTGCAAGGAGGACACGGCAAGGAGGTCAGCGGCGAAGGGCACGGCCGGGGGGCCGCGGGAGCCCAGGAGCCCCCCTCCAGGGGACGGGGCCCGGCACTCACCCACGTCCAGGCGGAGGCGGCGGGGTAGAAGATGACCAGGTTCACCAGGGCGTAGATGGCCTGCGGAGAGAGCACGGCTCTGCTGTCTGCCCGCCGCCCACCCCGGCCCGGCCCCGCGCCCCGCCGGGGCCCCCCGGCCGCACTCACCGAGGCCCCCAGGATGATGCGGAGGTAGAAGCGCAGCGTCTCCCGGTTCTCCTCGAAGATCTGCTTCTTGCCCTTGGTGCCCGCCTTCCCCTTGGGCTGCGGAGCCAAGAGAGAGGCGGTCAGGCGCGGGCCCCACGGAGCCCCCGGCCCCGCTGCCCCGGCCCCCCACTCACCGCCATGGCCGCGCCGGCTCCGCGCTCTGCGCTCCGCTTCCCGCGGACGTGACGGGCCCGGAAGCGGCGGGGCCGGGCCGGGAACGGCGGCCCCGGGGAGGGGAAGGGACAGCCCTGTCTCGAGAGGGGACAGCCCTGTTCGTGAGGGGACACCCCTGTGCCGGGGACATCCCTCTCCCGAGAGGGGACACCACTGCCCCGGGGAGGGGACATCCCTGCCCCGAGGGCTTTCCACAGAATGACAGGACGGGTCAGTTTGGAAGCCACCCCGGTGGCCCAAGCTCCCTGCTCCGGCAGGGTCACCCCCAGAGCAACGTGGCACCGGATTTCGTCCGGATGGTTCTTGAGTATCCCCAGTGAGGGAGGCTCCACGCCTTTTCTGGGTGATCTGTTCCAGTGTGCGGTCACACAGAAGTTCTTACTCATGTTCAGGTGGAACTTACTGGGCATCAGTTTCTGCCCTGTTGCCTCATTGTCCTATCACTCGGCACCACCGAGCAGAGCCTGGCTCCATCCTCTGACACTCTCAGATACTGACACAGATCCCCTCTCAGTCGTCTCTTCTTGAGGCTGAACAGGTCCAACTCCCCCAGCCTTTCCTCATGAAAGAGAGGCTCTAGTCTCTTTATCATATTTGTTGCCATCTGCTGAACCCGCTCCAGGAGCTCCCTGTCTCTCTTGTACTGAAGATTTGAGACTCCCAATCCCCTCCACAATCCTGGGGACATGGGCACACACGCACAGAGGGCACGCACACACAGAGCCCCCACACACCCAGATCCCCAGGGGGTTTCTCCACTTCCCAGCACCAGAGGACCCTGAGGCCTTTCCCCCAGCCCCACAGTGCAGCCACAGGGTTTGGGGCGCTGGTGACAGCCCTCCCCATTTCAGCCCTCCCCCTTACAGCCCTTTGACCCACCTGTGCCCATCATCCTCCCAGCTTCTGGCAGCTGCAGCTCTATCCCAGTCTTACTCACTCTGGCCCCTTCCGACCCGCTAGTCTGAGCCCTTCCCCAGACCTTTGGCAAGGACACATCCCCAAGTTCTCTCTCCACAGGTGTTTATTGTCCTGTACGCAGGAGGCAGAGGCACAGCTGGTTCCCCCCGTGACCTGCGGCTGTGGCTGTGACCACAACACCCCTGGGAGAAGCTGCAGGCACGAGGAGGTGCAGGGCACCGGGGTGGGGGCCGTGGGGGCCGGGAGGAGGTAGCTTGTCGTGGGTGCAGTAGTGCAGCAGCATGGCTGAAGTGTGCAAGTGTCCACCCAGGGCGGGGGGAAGGCACCAGGATTGGCAAAACATCACAGTGCTGGGCAGCAAGGGTAGACCAGGGTCTCTTCCTCACCAGGCCCGGCTGACTGGTGCTGGGAAAAGGGGGCTTGTTCCCTAAACACCACCCCCCCTTCCAGGACAGGGCTCAGCAAAAACACATTTCAGTGCAGGAGGGACCTGGCAGGCACACCGTGCTCGGGAGATGCTGTCTGCTTGACAAACTTAGTGGAAAGGTGTGTTTTATCCTTTTTCCAACCACCTTCTTGTCCAGAAAGGATCCCCTACACTGATGGCGAAAGTCAGGCAGTGCAGATTTGTACCTTTGTAGTGTTACCCCAGCAGGGAAGGGTGGGCCACCCAAGCTCCCAGCCAGCACCTGGGCTTGTCCCTTTGGGCCAGAGATGAGGGACAGAACCTGGAGGAAGGGGTTTGATTTTGAGGGGCATGGAGGAAGGGGTACAGAGCACAGGGAGGAACTCACTGCTCTGCATGGCTGAAATCGTAGCAGAAGTTTAAATTGCTGGGGGGCTTTGGGATGGGAGGGGGGTTGTCGGGAATGCTGACGTTCTCCAGGTCCAGGAGCCGCAGCTTGAGCTCCATGGACAGCAGGACATCGAGGTCTGTCTGTGTTCGCTCACTCATCATCTCCTTGCCCAGGAGCACGTTCAGCCCGTCCGTCCAGAGGCAGAACTGGGGAAGCACAGCACAGGCATCTCTGGCACCAGCCCTAGGCAGCCAGAGAGCCCACCTCTCCCCCTCTTTGGTTCCCACTCCCCAGGACTGGCTGCCCCACCTGCTATCCCCTGCAAAGGATGTCTGGCCACCGTGTGCCTCCCCAGAGGGCCCCTGGACTCACCTCGTACCGGGTGGGGGCAACAAAGTTGAGGCAGTATTCTTCCACGTCATGCACGATGGAGAAGGCCAGCTCCAGGACATCCTGCAGGGACAGCACAGGGTGTAGCCAGCCTCTCAGCTGGACTCTTTCCAACCCCAGAGGGGTTCAGAGCATGGAGCTGCCTCCCAGCCTCCTCCTCTGTGCCCCCAGACACCCAAGAGGTCTCTGTCCATGAAACCATCCAACCTGCCACCATTCACCCACCCCCAAAACCCATCCTCAGCCAGGGAGGGGAGCATGCTGGGCACCCTGGACAGGGAGAGGTGTGAGGTGCTGACCTTGTTCTGCTTCCCGGAGCTCTTCTCCTTTGTGTGTGGGCACTCCTTCCCCACCAGCAGCATCTTCATGTCTGCCACAGGAACTGGGGCAAGTGGAGGAGCTGTGAGCATCTCCTCTCCCAGTCTCTCTCCTTCCCCTCCCTCTCCTTTTCCTCCACGTCCCCGGTGCTCAGAGCCCAACACAGACCAAATAAGAGGGCTCACAGCGATGCACAACTTAGACTGAGGGGCTCAAGCCACTCTGCAGTGCCCTTTGGGGAGCCAGCCTGCTCCAGCCTGAACTCCCACAGCTCCGAGTTCCAAAATACCAGTGGACACTGGGCCAGCTGCACAGCAGCCAGGCAGAGGGGAAATGGGCACCTTAAGGCAGTCTCAACTGGGACTCCCCTCCCTCCTTCCCAACCTCCCTTTCCCTTCATCACCTACTTTTCTCCGTCAAGCTCTCGATGGGGGGAGACTCCACCCCCTCCTCCACGTCCCCATAGTGCAGTACCTTGTGGTTGGGTGACAGGCGGCAGTACCACAGCTTGTCTGCAGCAGAAGAGACACAAGAAATGCTCAGCCTCCCCCTGCTGAGGTCCCCTTCCCAGGGGGGACAGAGCTGCCCCCTCATCCGCACTCCCCATTTCTCTCTCTCACCCTGTGGGTTAGCCCACACCAGCTCTCCAGGGAGCTGGGCACGCTACTCCCAGAGATTAACTGCAACTTCCCCAGCAGCAGGGGACATGGGGACAAGCCTCTGTCCCCTTCCCAGGATCCCCACCCAGGAGCAGGGGGCTGGCACCCACCCTGCCTGCGGCGGCTGCTGATCTTGCGGAAGAGGGTGCCCTCGCAGAGGTGCAGCAGGCGCTGCTGCCGGATCAGCTCCAGGAGCTCCGGCTTCAGCCTCTCCCGCAGTTCCCTGGAATGAAAACCAGCAGAAGAGGAGCACGGCCATCTCAGCAGGCGCTCGCCGACCTCCCCAGCCCCACAGCGTCACCCCCGCAGCCCACTCACAGCACGGGCGCAGCCAGCGTCTCCTCCTGGTGCAGCCGCTCCGTCTGCCGCAGCTTCAGGATCTCGCTGTAGTTCAGCGCGTTCACTCTGGTCTTGAACAGCTCCAGGGAGGTGGGCTTGAGGGCCAGGGTCCTGGTGATCTGCTCCCGCACCACCTGCATCACCTGCAGGGCACAGGTCGTCAGCCCCAGCCTGGCCACGCTCCCCAGAGCCCCTGAATTTGCGATGCCGTCCAGGCCCGCAGCACCCCCTCGCACCTTGTCGAAGTCCTCCTGGGTCGCCCGCATCTCCTTCCAGGTCTTGTTCACCAGCTGGATGCAGATGCAGAAAAGCTCTTCGAAGAAATGATCCTGCCCGAAGAACATAGGGTAAAAGGCCTGAGCCGTCTCCGAGCCTGCGGTGAGAAGGACAGATGATGCCAGACTCCCTAGTTTTTCCGGGGGGTGGTTTCAGTGTCCAGGAGAACCTGGACATTTCCCAGCCCTACCTTCCCTCCCCCTGCTGTTGGCCACGCCAGAGCCTGGTGGCCCCATGGGTGCAGCCCCCTGCCCTGGCAGCTTGTCCCCCCAGGCAGCAGGGCAGGGAGAAGGACAAGGTGGGGCGCACACATACACGGCTCTCCGACGTGCAGGATCTCGCAGAGGATCAGGGTGAGCTGGATGCTGCTTCGAGCGAAGGGACATTCGTGTTTGTCTTCCCGGCTGCTGTTCTCGAGGACGAACTGGAGGAGAGGGCCATACCTCACATCACGTGGGCCATGAACTTGGAAGGCTGCCCCAACAGTGGGGCTCAGGCATCCCACACTCCTCCTGAATTCCTGGTCAAGATGTCCCCACCCAGGTAAAGCCACCCCTAACAGGAGTGATTCACTCTCCCCAAAATCCAGCCCCACCCTCCTCCTTCCCCTGTGGCAGTGCAGGAGCTGGTCACAGGCACTGCAAGCAGGAGCACGGCTGATGCCCTGCTGGTTTTGCCTAAATTGCCCCCGTTTGCTCAAGGCCTGAAAACCAAGCTGTGGGCAAACCCCAAAAACCGTGGGAACCCTTCAGTGCCACCAGCCTCAAATGGCTTCTCCTGCCCACAGGGAGGACTCAGCTCCGTCTGAAACTGGGCGACAGTAGGACATGTGCCCAAAAGGGACATCTTTGCCTGGGTTTGGCCAAGGACAGGTCGCAGGGAAAGGAAAAACAGGGAGCTCCCTGGGAGAGCACACGCACCCTGCTGAAGGCATTGGGGGTGTTCCTGGAGAAATACACCATGTTGTCCAGGGCAAGGAGTCCTGGTGGGGCACGGCGGAGGTCCTCTGCTGGGTTGCTGTTGTTCTAGGAGGGCACAAAGGATGCAATTTAGCAGCTGCAGCCTTCTTCTCCGAGCAGCAGCGTCCTCCCGATGCAGCCACGGGGTTTGCCTTGGAGTCCCAGCACATCCACACGCTGTTCGGGAGTCCCAGGGGAGCAGAGGGGAGGTACTGCGTGGTGATCCATCAGCATCAGCAGGGACACCAGGCTTAGGGGAGCCATCAGAAGGCATCCCCAAGGCCGTGTGGAGGAGCCAGCTTGGGGCTGGGGAGGGGGGACGCACCAGGAAGCCCAGCTTGCGGAACTCCTTGGCACACAGGGACCGCCGGCGCTCGGTGCTGAAGTTGCTGGCAGGCGCCTCGCTCTCCGACTCAAAGGCAGTTTGGCGCAGGGACTGGAGGAGCTCCCGCTGGTCCTGGAGGGAAGGTGGAGATGAGGGGATGCCTGTGAGCCCCACACAAGCAGGTTCTCCTGGGTCGAACCCACGATGAAATCAAATGTGCTGGGTTCACCCAAATGCGAACTACTTCCACTGGTGGAAGAGAGCGGGACCAGACTCATAAGGAGAGCACTCCAAGACCTGTGAGTAGGGATCCATGGAGGTCCTCATGCGATGCTCACACAGGTTGAGGCTGACAGACTGTAGCACGTACAGGTAATGGGCCATCTCGTCCCCCAGTGGCTCAGAGCTGTGGACGATGTTCTGCAGGAGACCACAAGTGAGAAGGTTCCCCCAGGCTGCTGCTCCCCAAGCCCAGAGCCCAAAAGCCTAAGTTCCTGCTGCTCCAAGGGGTGTTAGGAAGTGGGAAGCTCCCTTCAGGGTTGGGCAAGAGCTGCGTGCACTGAACTGCAGGCAGATGGGGGGGAACCCTGGGCAGATGAGTGCCAGAAGAGCAGCACCCATAAGAGGTATCAAGAAAGGGGTGTGGGCACACAGGTAACCCAGCCAGGCACAGTCACCAAGGGCTGGGGGCTCAGGGGACAGGGCCTGGGGAGGAAGGCAGAGAATGAATCACTCAGCAGACCTTTGCACAACCCCAACTCCTCACCTTGTGGATAAACTGCCTGATGTTCTTCTCTCTTAGGTAGTCCATCATGTCCTAGGAAGGGAAAAGGCTGTGAGATGTGCTCAGCACACCACCATTCCCCCCCAAGTAAAAAGCTGATGTTCCTACTGTCATCTCAATTCCCTGTTTAGCTTAGCTTTGGGCCACAAGCAAGGTGGGGACAGAAAGGACCTGGCAGTCCTAAGAGTGACACCAGCAAGCAGGGGACCTGCTTCAGTGCCCACCGTGGCAGCTCATACGTGCCAGGCACCGGGGCTGGGCCACCACAGTCACTGTGCCACCAGCAGCTGTGATACTTCTGCCATTTGAGGCAGAACAACTGACAGCTGAGGGCTCTCCCCACCCCGTGACAGGGGAACTGTGGTGCCTGGCTCTGCAATGCCCCCAGCCTGCCTGCTGCCCCTCACCCGCCGCTCGGCGTTGGTCGCTGCCAGCAGCAGCGCGATGAGCAGGGCCATCGCCTTCAGCTGCAGCTGGGCGTTTGTCCTGCGGGAGGAAGAGGAGGAGGACTGTGAGAACCACCAGCTCCGAGGGCGGGGCCGAATGGTGCTCTGGCCTCTCCACTTACGCCTGCAGGTGGGTGAGAAGACGATCCAACGTCACTTCTTTCTTGACCAGCTCGAAGAGGAGGCGACTGGTAGGCACCATGTTCTCCAAGATGGACAAGGAGAGCTGCTGGATGGATGCATCCACCGCGTTCATGTTGACGTAACTCACTATCTGCGAGACACCAAAACCATCCGTCGAGGGCAGGCTGAGCCTGGGGGACGAGGACAGTGAGGAATCCCAAGGGTACAGGCTGTGGAGGCTGCACAAGGTGCTTACCTTCTTGATGAAGACTGTACTAAGATTTTCCCAGGACACAAAGTCATGCTCCATCAGCTCTGTGAAGGCTTTCAGGGTGTGAGCCAGCATCTCCCCTGTGCTGGAGGGACAGATGAACAAAGGCAGTGAGGAGAAGAAAGGAAAGAGACTGTTGGGTTAGAAATAACTCTCACTTAGTCATCCCAGGAAGTCAGGGCAGGGGAAGTTCAATAGTTGGAAAGCTGCATTAACACGGTACAAAGATCACTGTAGACAAACCCTCAGGAAAGCCAAACCACTCCATATCCCTCCCTGTGATTCTAAGAAACATGTGCTGCGCTGCCTGGTTTTGGGCTCCACGTTCTCTGTGTGACAGGAGCTCAGAGGAGATGCACCATCACATCTCTGAACGAGTCACACAGGCACTCGTATTTGGCAACTGGGGTTTTCTGGAATTGCCTGAAAATCTCTGGCAGCTAAAACCTCGGGACAGAGGGTTTATTCAGGGTGGCAGGAATGAGGAGCAGTAGAGGAGGCCAAGATGATCACAGGAGGTTTCCTGGTAGCAAAACCCGTGAGGCTACAGATGACCCAGCCAGCAAAGGGATGGGAGGTTCAAGTCTGGGCACATTCACAAGGAGGCAGGACCACACATCCCTGGGGACCTTCCCCTGGCTGCCAGCGTGCAGGGACACAGCCACAGTGCAGGCATCAACAAGTCAGGAACACAAAGAGAGTCCACTCCAACACCCAGCTTGGAGCTCATGCAGCATTAGCAAGGCAGAAAAAAGTCAAAGAAGGTTGTGTCCTGATACTCACTCATTCCCTTCTTCCACAATAGAGTAAATTTGTTTCAAGCCATTCCTGTTGATGAACTCTTGAGCAAAGGTAACATCCTGGGAGAGGCTTGCAAGCTTCTTCAGTGAGTCAGTCTTCACATCCACATTCTTGCTCTGGATCCCGCTGTACAACCGCTCTGCTTCTTGGTCCTACCAGGAAGGAAAGAATCAAGCCAAAGGGGCTCATCGAAAGACAGCGAGAAGCTTGAAGAAGGCTGGAAGAGCTGAAGTGCAAGTTTTGGAAGGAGTCTCAGACTAGAGCAGCCCCAGTGAGGAGCTGGACTGAGAGACAGAGCCACCAGAGCAGAGACCAGCAGGAGCTGAGGACGGAGGTCAAGCTGGCATGACACCAAGAACACTTGATGAGTTGGCCCACGCGTCCAAAGCATCTCAAGATGATTTAGTTTCTCTTCAAACTCCCCCAAGCTCTGCCGAGGGAAAATGAAGGCTGAGACACGTCTCCTGCCCGTGTTATTTCTGCTGGGTCTGAGGCACTGAGAGGAACCATCACGAGCTCAATTCACCGAGGGAGTCAGCGGCAGAGGGCTCGGAGCACCGCACTGCCCCACTGCAGGGACACATCCCACCAGAGCACAGGGCGCAGGAGGAGACAGGGGGGCAGAGAGAGATGTACCGGGGAGGTGGTCAGCCGCAAAATGCTCCCGTTCTTAATCTCCCTGCGGTTCTGTAGGGAGAGAGGCACGGGTGAGACAGCGGCGGGGCCGGCAGAGGCCGGGCAGGGGATGTTCGGGGGCGGGTGTCTCACCGACTCGGTGATGTAGGTCTGCCGCCCGTCCACGTACTGCAGGGCGTAGTGCTCGGCGTTGGGCAGGCTCCACCTGCGGGCACGGGCGGCCGGTCACGGCCCCGTACGGCCACAGCCCTGCGGGGCCGTCGGGGCTGCCACGACCCGGTACTCACGCGTCGCAGACGTCCTTGAGCACCGCGGAGAGGGGCTTGGTCTGCGGGCGAGAGCGCGGCCGTGAGCCGGGCATGGGGGGGCGCGCACACACCGGGAGGGGGGTGCGGGGGTGCCGGGCCGTACCTGCTGGAGCTCGATGAGCTGCGGGATGGCTCCCACCATCTGGATGGCGATCTTCACCACGTCCTTGGGCGGCGGCATGGCTGGCTGGCTCCCGCCGGGGCTCCGCTCCAGTTCCGGGTTGTTGGTGCCGCCGCACCGAGGCCTCGCCGCCGCCACCCGGCCCCGGCCAGGCCCGGCCCCCTCACCTGAGCTGACGCGGGTTCTCCGGGACCCACCTCCGCTCCCGCCGGGAAAAGCGCCCCGCTTCCCCCCACAGGGCACCCCCATCCCACCACCCAGGGCGAGAAACTCTGGAAA